GGGAAAGAGGCATAGGTCCCATTTTCAGTGACACATATGTACACTGATAGTAAAGATAAAGGATCAGGGTCTCTGGTATCAGACTGACTTCAATTTATAAACTGCCTCTGCCACTTATTAGCTCTGTGCATTTGAGCAAATTATGTAATTTTCCTTTGCTTCCATTTCTACCAAAAGGTTGTTGTGAGGATTTCATGAGGTCAGAATATGAAAAACACCTATCCAGGTACTAGAAAATTATATGTATTCAATAAATATTTGTTGCCTTCCACTTTCCCAAACTTCAAGCTGCCTGAAAAGTAAGAGAAGGCTTACATTTTTTGAGCTGGTCCAGTTCTGATCGAAGAGCTGCTTTTTTTGAAGTGCCTGGCTAATATAGTTACCTAGAAAATTAAAACAAAGTGAAAGAGCATTGTTGAAAAGGCATCTGAGAACTACAAGGGGGTAGGGTACTTTTCAAGCTAAAAAAAAAAAAATCAAGATAAAAGTTTCTTTTATACTGATATTTGCTCTTTGAAAGAAAATGAAAAATATTTTAAGCATAAAGAAGGAAAAGTATCTCTGTCTCCATCCAGCCCAAAACATCACTCATCTGTTGAATGTATGTAAAGACACTTTGTACATGCATACACACCCACACGCACATACATACACTCCCTGTTGACTGAGCATTATAGCACTCCACGTGCCAAGCTATTCACTAATTTTTTTTTTCCCCAAACAAATAGCTCTATCATGGGTAAACTTGTGGAATAAAATACTTGAGGAATTATTATGAGCTGGTGAATATTGACTATAAAAATTGCATGGTTTTGTCTTTGGGGAAGTTTTGTTTTTGTTGCTTTTTGTTTTGTTTTTCCCTGAGTTAGTTCTGTTAATCAGTAAACCAGGATTTTTGTGAGTTGCCCATTATCCAAGAGGGGAGGGCATGAGGCAAAGCTATATGTAGTAGATGGCAAAAATGAGCTCAGTGTGGTACAGCTTCTCTCATTAAGAAATGGAGTTTATTTCCCCACTCCTTGAATCTGAGCAGGCCTTGTAACTTGTTTTGACCAGTGGAATGTGGCAGAAGCAATAATGTATGTGTCCTAAGCCTTCAGGAGGCCTTGAAACTTCTGCTCTTTCTTCTTTTGGAAATCCTGTAATCATCTCTATGTGAATAAGCCCAAGTGAGTTAATTGGAGGATGAGATCTGTGGCTCAGCTACGCTCATCACTCCAGCTGATGGCCAGACAACAGCCAGACATGTAAGTGAGACCATTGGCCATCAGTTGACCACAGACACATGAGTGAGTCCAGCTGAGACCAGCAAAGAAATACTTGATTCATAGATTCGTGATTTAAATAAATGGCTGTGTTTTGTTTGTTTCTCATGAGGTAAGAGATAACTGGCATACCATGTATCTACCATTGTTGTGAAAATAGGCATAACAAGCCCAACACATAGATAACCTATTTTATCCCTTTTGGACCACAGCCTCACATTGGATTGTTTCAGCTGGAGGAGAGAGCCTAGGCTTAGCTCCTCCAGGAGGCACCTGATGAGGGTTTGGCTCTGAAGGGTTTGTGAGTCTATATTCAGGCATTGATAGGAATCCCTTGAGGCTCTAAGTAACCTAGAGAAGCTAGAGGCTGCTGGGTCAGGAAGCAGAGTTGGGCATCTTCCCAGGAAGCAGCAGGAGAAGGGGCATCTCCCACATGGTACTCAGAGTTGCCAGACCCTGGGGGCCTTCAGCCTAGACCTTGCTGAAGTAAATTCCTTACCCAAATCATCTCCAGGGTCTCCTTTTTGGCCCACTTGTCCTGGTAACCCAGGTGGCCCTGGCATTCCTTGAGGCCCCACCTTTCCAGGAGGGCCCTGAAAGCCTCTGAGTTCTTGACCTGTTGGAGGACCAAGGAAACATGACAGTATTTGCGTTCCTGCTCTATTTCTCCAAAAGCATGATGCCCAATCCCTTACCAGGAGAAAGGAGACACTGAACCAGGACTCACATTCTGAACTGCTCTTTCTAATGACCATAGAAGGAAAGCCTCCTGTGTCCCATGGGATGGTCTGCCTTGAGGGTCAACTTCCTGAGCCGGCAGGACCACCAGGTGTCACCAGTACCTGTGTGGAAGTTTGGGATGCCAGAGTCAGAGCTGTATCTCTCTTTTGAATTATAATTTGTAGTTGAGAGAAATACAAGCTACGTGAATGTGACATTATCCTCCTCACATCTCCAGGCAGTTTCCTTTAGAAGATAAAGAGTCACAGAGATAGAACAGCCCAAACTGTACCTGGTTCTCCCTTTTCTCCCTTGGCACCATCATGCCTATCTTTGCCTGGGAGGCCGTTGATTCCTGGAGAACCACGGGCAATCACAGGGCAGGTCTTTTGTACATTCTCACAGTTTTCTGTTTCTGTACATGATGCTGTCACCACAATCAGGAGAAGCAGAGGGAGTGATGGAAACAGTGACATGGTCCTCACCTTGGTGTGGGAAAAATCAAGGAAGATTATCTCATCCTGTTCAGTTAATCAAAACATATTTACTGAACCTGCCCTTTTTCCTCTAACCTATACTGGGCACAGGTGATATAGAGATGGATGACCCATTCCTGGCCTCCACATTGGGGATTTGGAAAAGTAAATCCTCCTGTGACGTTGTATTACTACTTCAACAAAGGTAGTTATAGCAACTTGCATTGTCAGGGAGAAGGGGTTACCAGTCCCTGGCCTCTAGTGTTACTGCTAAAAGGCTAGGAGTGTGCTCTCTGTGTCCTTTGTGAGAGCAAATAGGCATAACATTGCCAGCTCACTCATGCCTGCTGACTTGGGGAGTGAACGTGAATGGAGACCCAGCTCTCTCTGTCTCACCTTTCCCATTTGGGCCCATCTGCCACCTGCATCCCATCCTTATACCTGAACAGTCCATTGCCCTCAGTGCCAGTTAACCAACATCTACTCAGTGGCACTAAGCTGCAGGCTAATGATCCAGAGAGGAAGAGTCACTGCTAGTTACTAACCTGGCTGGAATTAAGTTGAGTTTGTTTCCTCTTGATGTTTTATTTCCCACTGTAAGAGAGACTTGCCAGGGAGAGAATTTTCTCTGGAAATTTCTCACTGTCTTGACCCAGGCAGGGTGCCAGATCCCTCTCTACTTCCTGGCAGGTATTCTGTGTGTCCTATGAGTCAAAACCACTGGCAATTAGAGCACCTTCCTTGAATACCCTTCTTATTTCTCAAGCCTGACATTTTATGTCCTTCAAAATCCTCTTCCAGCTGTCCCTCCCCCAGGAAACCTCAGCAGCCCAGCATCAAGGGTCTAACTAATCCTTCTCGGCTCCCTTTGAAAACAAAGGCACAGTCTCATTTGCACATGGTCAGGTGAACCCGGGAAAGTCACAGATGCCCCAGCGTAAGCAGAGAAAGATACCCCCAGCATGGCTTCTGCCTGCCATCTCCCCACACACCCTAGAAAGTCTTCTCTAGGCCTCCAAGATCAAGTCAAATCCCTAGACATTTGATCCAGGACCCCAGATCCATTCACCAGAAAGGACTTACCATGGCTTCTGCAAAGCAGGGATACAGTCACAAGGAAACTGGCCCTCCAGCAGGGTGCCGGCAGGTGCCTTAGGTGGAGGGAGGAGGCTGGATTCAGTAACGCAAGGTCCAATTAGGCTTGTAAACAAGGACAGTATGGGCCTGACCTTCAACCCCAGATTAATAAATAAGTCTTCTTAGAACTGCACTAAACTCTTCTTAGGAGCATTTCCCAGGGGCCTCTGGTGCAGTGCTGAGTGGCTGTTTTCTTTAATACTGCACAGTTCTTCCTTTAAATCGCCATCATTTGGGCAGTCCTCACTGCTGAGTCAGCATGAGCTGGCTCACATGGTTAATTGTGTCGAGATTCTTGTCTCCAATGAGAAACACAGAGGCGCCTGTGAATGTGCTCACGTGCTTGGGCACACTAACCGTGCACACAGACACGCAGGCGTGCACACACGGTCATCCATGAAGGCACGGCAGACCCCTTGCTGCCTTCCACATACCAAGACCACTCCTGCCTCAGGCTTTACACTTGGTTTTCTCCCAGCCTGAATGTCCCCTCCATCATGTCACCAGCTGGCTCTTTCTCTTCTACTGAGACATTCCTGTCTCAGAGAAATCTGTGTTGATCACTTTATCTAAGTGGTCCCACTCTCTATCCTCTTAACTTGCTTTATTTTCTTTCATATTACTTATACTCCATGATGTTATATCTATTTACTTTTCTACTTTTTATTGTGGTAAAATGTGAATAACATAAAATTTACCATTTTGACCGTTATTAGGTATACAATTTGGCCACATTAAGTACATTTACATTGTTGTGCAACCTTCACCACTACCCATCTCCAGAATATTTTCATCATGCCAAACCGAAACTCTGTACCCATTAAACAACTCCCCATTTCCAACCCCCCAGCCCCACCCCCAATCCTTGGTAGCCACTGTTCTACTTTTTGTCTCTATGAATTTGACTACTCTAGGTGTCTTAGATAAGTGGAATAATATAGGGTTTGTCTTTTTGTGACAGGCTTATTTCACTTAGCATAATGTCTTCGAGGTTCATCCATGTTGCCGCAGGTATCAGAATTTCCTTCCTTTTTAAGTTTAAATAATATTCCATTATATGTAAATACCACATTTTGGAAGCTTCATTTTTACTAGCAGAAAAAAAAAACTGGAAATAACCCAATTGTCCTTCAACAAGTGAATGGATAAATAAACCATGGAAAACTCACAGAAAAAAAGGAACAGACTATTAATTAATAAAATAACTTGGATGAATTTCAAGGACATTATGTTAAGTAAAATAAATATAATATCAAGAGTTTATAAACTGTATTATTCTTTTCATATAATATTCTTGAAATGACAGAATTAAATAATGGGGACCATATCAGCAGTTGGCAGGGAATAGGGCTTTAGGGAAGGTATAAAGGTGTAGGACAAGAAAGTTTCATTGTGGGTGATGGAATAGTTCTGTGCCTTAATTGTGGTGATTGCACAAACCTATGATTGCGATAACATTTCATAGAACTATACACCAAGAAAAAAAATGCAGGTAAAAAATAGTTAAATTCAAATAACATCCATATCTTATTGTTGTATTGTTCCAATGTCAGTTTCCTGGTTATGCTTGCACTCTGGTATGTTAGATCCTACCATCGGTGAATGATGGATGAAGAGGACATGACACCTTTTTTTACTATTTTTTTCAACTTGTCTGTGAGACTAAAATTATTTCACATGAAAAAGTTTCCAAAGGGAGTCTTAAGGAAGCTGTGGGTGATCTAAAGATTATCCCTGCTTCCTTCAGTGCTTTGTCCAAGTTTTACAATGGAAATAGTCTGTACAGTGGCTTGAAAGTGAGAAAAAGTAGGCCAGGTTCCCAAGGATAGTACTGTTCAGTATGGTTGGTCTTAACAGTGTGAGATCCAAATGGTGAGAGATAAGGCATAAGCCTATTGATGATATGACTTATAAACTGTGTAAGACTTTGGACCTCCTCCCAAGGATCGTTAGAGGAATTCCAATAGAAGAGGAATGATCACATCTGAATTTTTCAAAGCTTGTTTTGACTAAAATGTGGAGCAAGGTTGGAAGGGAGCAAGACTGGAAAAAAGCTGACCTGCAAGGAAGTACTGTCGTCTAAACGGCAGACGATGGTGGCCAGAATCAGGGTTATGGCAGCTGGATCAAGAAGCTAGACACATTTGAGAAACATCTACAAGGTATAATAGATAGAACTTGGGAGTTGGTTGGGTGTGAAATGGTGAGCAGAAAAAAGAAATTTGGGCATACAAGTTTCTGACTTGAATATCTGGGTGCTAGTTAACTTATTGTAGGAGGTATAATGGGGATCTTGTGAGTAAATGGCTTGAATCAGGTGCTAGTGATCAAGAAGGGATGGAACAATAACTTTGTGAAGCAAAATTTACTCAGTTCTGGACAACATTTCTAATAGAGCTGTCATCAAATGCCCTTTTAGCTTAGGGTGGTGAGGGAGCCCGTCACAGGAGCTTCAAACAGAGGTTGCAGAGCCATGTGGTGAGGCTGTGGTAGAGGCCTCCAAACACCAAAAGGAATATGGATGAGATTACCTTCCACGTCCTTTCCAACTAGATGGTCCTTGGTTTGTGGAAGGGCTGGGTTTCTTACTTCCTGCTGACCCATCCCCTGGGCCTGAAAAAACTGCAGGATGGTACAGAGCCACGTGCCTAAAGCTAAGGACAGAGACTAGGACATCCAGGGCCTGAAAAAGTCTGCTGGAAACTTGCTTATCTCTCTCCCCTACTCTTCAGCATCCATACTTTCCCCTTGTTCCTACTCCAAAGTGGAGGAGGTAAAATGAGATAGCTGACTCCAGGTCACACTGGAAGTTCTGGCTTTGATCACTGTGCTTGTTTGTATTGAACACTTAGTCCAGAGGTCAGGAAGCTTCCTGGAACTGAGCTGGGAAGGGGTGGACATCTGGGTGGAGAGTCAATCTGAAAGTTGAGCCACTGCTCTGGATGCAACTGAATCTCTTCCCATCCTCCACAGTCTCCAGCAGGCCTTTACTATCATGAGATACCCCTTTCCACATGCATCAGCCCCTGATTACCCAGTTTGCACTCCACCTAATAAGGCTGCTGTATGCATTTGTTCTGGACCTTAGGCCCTTCTCAGCACACCTCCACCAGACAACAGTGCTGCCTGTCTGACCTGTAGGAGGACTGCCTGCCCCTCTACATCACTTTCCTTTAATGGGATGGAATCCCAGCTCTGCCACTTCCTGGCCGTGTGACTTTGGCCAAGTTCTGTCTCCTTCAGGTCCTGTTTCTTCATCTGTGGACCAGGACAACACTGCCTTGGCTATGCTGTGATATACTGTCTTCTGATCCACACTTGTAGTGCATGGCATGCAGCTTATCATACCATCCTGCTTAAGACAAGGCCTTCATTGCCTCCAGGATGGTGTTACAATAGTCTTCTTCCCGTGGGAAGCAGTGTTCTTGGGCAACCCCAGCTGAGAGGTAAAGTTTGAGATTTGGAACCTGAAGGCTTGGTTTGGGCTCATGACTCCGAGTTTAGGCAGACCACATATTTTGGCTGAGCCTCAAATTTTGGCAGGGGGAGTGGGGCACAGGTGTAGCAGGCCTAGAAGGTGCTGGTCCTCGACCAAGAGCCTTTGCTTCAGGAGGATTTGGGGAGACACACCTGGGGGAGGGTGATGAACAGGGGAAATCAGGGCAGTTGTGCAGGCAAAAAAGCCTGAGGCCCGGGATTCCCTGCCAAGAGGGCTGCAGGAAGATTGTGGTCAAGCTCATTGACTCAAGGAGAGACTGTGTTGGGGCCTTGGCAAGGACAGAGCTCCCAGGATATTCTCAAGTCAAGCTGCATCAAGAAACTGAGGGTCCCTTTTTCTCTCAGCTTCTCTCTAGTGCTCTCTATTGTGAAAGCTTATCCTGCTCACTT